ACAAGAAAATAACAAATGATCTCTTGAAATTTAGATTCTAGCCTGTAAGGCACTTGAAGCAAGATCCTGTGTTTTGTTATTGTTGCCTGTAATAGGAATGGATTAATGAGTTCCATTGAAGGACCTAGCAAATTTCTAGAGAGACCAGATGCTCTCAGTAGACAGTTGACAAAGCTTTTTGGTGGAATTCCTTTTCCATTGGTTGACTTTGTTGAGCCACAGTGTTGTAAGCAACATCAAACTTCTAGATTTAGCTATTATTATTTTTACTGACACAAAAGCACAGTATGTCACAGCAAATGAGATCTATATGCTGGATTTCATGTCACAAAATCACAAGTCGAACCCTTCCCAAGCGTCTAGGACTGTGTGATGTATTTTCGAATGATGCGTGTAGATCCAAGTAAGGCGGCCTTTTGCAGTTGACAGATTGTGATTTTGTTGATGTTTATTGTTTCCAAATGCCGGCTGAAATCTTTTGGCACGGCACCCAGTGTGCCAATTACCACTGGGACCACCTGTACTGGTTTATGCCAGAGCCTTTGCATTGTTGTTGTTGTTATTATTATTGGGTTGTTGTAGGTTTTTTCGGGCTGTTTCATGCAGAGCACCTGATGAACCAACCTGGACACAGCATTTTATTTGAGAACACAGAAATGCTGGACCACTCCAACAACCACCATGTCAGACTACACAGAGAAGCCATTGAAATACACAAGCATGTGGGCAATTTCAACAGAAAGGAGGAAACCATGAAAATGAACAAAATCTGGCTACCAGTATTAAAAAACTCTAAAATTGCAACAGCACAACAACAGAGAAGAAGCAGGCAGGGACATCTAATTACCTCTCAACAAAAGTTTGCCCCAGGCACAGTCAGCCCATTGTATGCTAATCAAGGTGGTCAGTTAAAACATTCACACCTAGCTCTAGCAGGCAAGAGTCCTTTGTCCCACCCTGGTCATTCCACAAATATATAAACCATTTTTCCTAGTTCCAACAAACCCCATTACCTCTGAGGATGCTTGCCATAGATGCAGGCGAAACGTCAGGATAGAATGCCTCTAGACCATGGCCATACAGCCCAAAAAAACCTACAACAACCCAGTGATTCTGGCCATGAAAGCCTTCGACAATATATTATTATTATTATTATTATTATTATTATTATTATTATTATTTTGTCATCAAGTTGGGGTTGACTTACGGTTACCTATGAACAAAAGACCCACCAACTCAGCCCTGGCTTCTTTAACTGAGCGAATGCCTCTTTTCTTACCATCTTCTCCATGGACTCATGTCTTCTCATGATATGGTCAAAGTACGATTAGCTTCAGATGTCACTTTGGCTTCAATTTACAGCATCCACAGATCTCCCCCAGCACCACATTTCAAAGGAGTTGATTCTCTTTTGGCGGAGCAAATTGTAAGTTTCCAAAATACCTCTTATGTTGTTGTGTGAGGTGTTCCTGGAAATTAAAACGGCAGTTAACACTCAACTACTTGCTACTGATCAGAGCATCAGAACAAGTTTAATGGAGGTTTCAGAGCAGGTATTAATGCTCAAAAAGTGTAGCTCTCAGCTCCAACCCAAGGATGGCAGATTCAATGTCAGCCCTTTATAGGATGCTCCGATGCCACAACATGCAACAGCCAGCTTTTTTGTGCATTTCATCCCCTGAGTTTTTGGAAGAAGCATGTCATGGTATGCTCAAGCTGTAATGCAGAATAGAGACATGTCCCATTCTGCTCCCAACCATGCCAACTGTGAAAGGTTAGCAAACTGTGTCTGAAGTCAGCAGGCTCCTGAGCTCAACTGTGGGAGGTCTTCTGGCATAGGATTTGCTTCCCTTTATCATTAGTCTTACTTAATCCACCCACACATGATTAACATGGGGAGGAAAGCAAATCTCATTCCAGGTTTCATGCAAGGGTATTATGTGTGAGAGATAGTGCTATGCACACACACACTTTCTGTATTAGTATGTGGATTTTATCATTCAAATATCAATGTCATAGCATTTCCAATTTTTATGTGATTGTAAAAGAGGGCAAGTGAAAGAAGTTGAGCGGAAGAGAATCAACTCATTTGAAATGTGGTACTGGAGAAGAGTTCTATGGGTACAATGGACTGCCAAAATGACCAATAAGCAAACCAAGACTGAACTCTGCCAAAACAACTATTATATCACTCTCTTACAGCAAAGATGGACCTAAAATGGGTTGTTGTAGTTTTTTCGGGTTATATGGCCATGTTCTAGAGGTATTCTCTCCTGACGTTTCGCCTGCATCTATGGCAAGCATCCTCAGAGGTAGTGAGTTGATGGCTTGTCTTTCCTTCCTTGTTATGTGACTGGAGGGAAGTTTGGCCTTTTTCAGGATCCTTGCTGTTTCCCCTCTTACTTCTTCTGCTTCTTCCTCGGGGAGACGATAAATTGCTGATTCGACATTGGCAATGATGTTTTCTACTGGGATCCTGGTGGTGGTTACAGCAAAATTTCCTCCTTTCGCTAGTATGGATACTTGGTCTTCAGAAAGTTGCCTGTCTGTCAAGTTGATGATGGTCCATGATGTATCCAGTTCTGGTTTCGGCTGTTGCTTTTGGCGTTTGTGGAATTTTTGTTTTTGTCTGTTGGTGTGGACATACATGTTTTTCTCCATTTTTTTGTAAGTGAGTTTGTCTATTTTGTCCCAGTCCTGAGAATTCATCTTCTGGCTGATGTTGATATGGAGGTGCAACAGTTCCTTGTCTTTGTTTGCGAGTTCTTTGCAGATGGTGTGAATTCTCTCTCATAAGAGGTTGCGTTCCAGGTAATCATAGATTCGGTGAGCCTGTGGTGTTTTGAAAGTCCTTTTGGCTGCAAGAAATTGTGGGATGGTATCTGTGTCTCTGCAGCGTAGAAGGAAAGTCAGGGAGCACAGTAGATGTGCTTTCCTGGTCCTTAGTTTTTCCAATTTCGTGTGTCTTGGAACAGTTTCTCCCTGTAGAGATGTTCAATGTATTGTCGAAGGCTTTCATGGCAGGAATCACTGGTTTGTTGTAGGTTTTTTCAGGCTATATGGCCATGTTCTAGAGGCATTCTCTCCTTTTGCCTGCATCTATGGCAAGCATCCTCACAAACTCTGAGGATGCTTGCCATAGATGCAGGTGAAACGTCAGGAGAGAATGCCTCTAGAACATTTTATTTATTTATTTATTTATTTAGAGTGCTTCTACCCCGCCCTTCTCAACCCCCTGATTTAGAGTGCTTCTACCCCGCCCTTCTCAACCCCCTGGCACATGAACATATAGCCTGAAAAAAACTACACCAACCCAGTGATTCCGGCCATGAAAGCCTTTGACAATACATTGAATGACCTAAAATGACTTATATCACCCATGTTTGAATTTGGGTTGGCCTACAAAGACTTATATGGTCCGTGTTTGAGTTGGGGCTGGCCTACAAAGAAAGATTAATGAAAGGGGCCAACAGGAAACCAAGACTCAACTCTGCCAAAACAACTATTGTATCACTTTCTTACAGCAAGCGGGGTGGGGGGGGGGGAGACCTAAAATGACTTACATCGTCCATGTTCAGGTTGGCTTACAAAAATTTACATGGCCCATGTTTTACTTGTAGTTGGCTTACAAAGACTTATGTGGTCCATGTTTGACTTGTAGTTGATCTACAACGACTTATTTGGTCCATGTTTGAGTTGGGGTTGGCCTACAAAAACAGACCAATGACCAGTGGGACCAACAGCAAATCAAGATTGAACTCTGCCAAAACAACTATTTTATCACTTTCTTACAGCAAAGGGGAAGGGGGGGGCACCTAGAATGACTTACATCATTCATGTTTGAGTTCTCGTTGGCCTAAAAACACTTACATGGCCTGTGTTTGAGTTATAGGTGGCCTACAGTGACTTATTTGACCTGTGTTTGAATTGTAGTTGGTCTGCAATGACTTATTTGGTCTATATTTGAGTTGGTGTTTGCTTACAAAGACAGACCAATGAATGGGACCAACAGCAAATCAAGACTGAACTCTGCCAAAATAGCTATTGTATCATTTTCTTACAGCAAAGGGGGCTGGGGGACCTAGAATGGCTTATATCATCCATGTATATCATCCATGTTTCAGTTCGAGTTGGCCTACAAAGATTTGATAGCCCGAGTTTTGCTTGTAGTTGGCCTACAAAGACTTATATGGTCCATGTTTGAGTTGTAGTTGACCTACAATGGCTTCTTTGGTCCATGTTGGAGTTGGGGTTGGCCTACAAAGAGAGACCATTGAATGGGACCAACAGCAAATCAAGACTGCCAAAACAGCTATTGTATCACTTTCTTAAAGCAAAAGGGAGTGCATAATGAAGTTATTAATACTTGGATTAATGGACTGCTGGTGGGAAAGAAAGCTATGAAGATTTACATCTCAACAAGAGTACAAATTGGACTTGATTTCACTTAAGCCGAGTGTTAAAATAAAATCATCTCAAATCATTTGAGCAATATGAAACTTAACTTGGTAACAAGCAAAAGTTCTTGATTAAGATCAGACTCTTTAGAGGGGGTTGAGAAGGAAAATGAAACAAAAAACCTATAGAATCCCACAAACCTCTGACAAACGACTTATTGTGGTAACTGATACGATGCTTTTCTGTTATCTTGTATATCTCTGGGAGTTTTGCTCCCTTGGCGGAAAAAATAACTTGCACTTTCAACAGCCGTGTTTATCATGAAATAAGGCAGAAAGCAAGAAAAGAAAGCAAAGAAAACAAAAAAAAGTGAAATGTAATATTTAGTGCCCCACTTTACCTCCCTGTGAGAGGTTTTAAAGAAAACTCTCCCTCTTTTCTTTCATATTTACAAGGGGATGTTTTCCCTGCCATATGAAGATTGACTGATGCAATCATATTGTAAGAAGTGAACCACATTCTTTGAAGAAGTCCTTTCTTCTTTAAACAGTTATTTATTTTATGGACTTCATAACATTTGTTCTTTTCCTCCCCCCCTTTAGGGCCCACCAACACGTTAAGTCAACCAGGGCTATTGATCAGGACACATTTACGTCTGCAAAGGCAAGCTAATCCAGTTTATACTGGAATCCTGCATATAACAGCATAAGATCTGAAAGTCCTGTTCAAAGAAACCTGCATCTTGGTAAGTGAGTATACTTACTATCTCTTCCTAGGCTGTGAAAAAGGGGTCCTAAAAGTAGAATCATAAGAGTTGGAAGGGACTCCATGGGCCACTGAATCCAACCCTTCCAATGTAATAAATCCATCTAGAGCAGTGGCTCCCAACCTGTGGTTCATGGACCACCAGTGGTCCACAAGAACTAAAATATGGTCCGTGGCCTCACCATTACTACACCGTTGCAACAAGAGCAAGTGGTCTCACAAAACCCTCTTATAGTGCCAAGGCTTATTAAATATGGTTTTCAAGGGGCAAGCAGATGGCATATGTACTGTATCAGAAAGTGGAGCTGATGTGGTCCATCCAATGCTGTTTTCTGAATCAGCACCCCAAATAACCAAACCGAATCTAAAGTTGACCAAAACCAGATTTGTAACCTTTTTGGTACTCATGTTGGAGGTTAGTCCCTGTCAAGTGGCCCCTGATCAAAAAGAGGTTGGGAACCACTGATCTAGAGCGTTCTCAGTAGATAGCTGTCCAGCCTCTTTTTCAATATATCCAATGGTCCCACTGCCGAACAAGAAGTTCCTTTCAATGTTCAATCGCAATCTACTCTTCTGTAACTTCCAGCTATTAGATCTTACCCAGAATCTCCCAATTTTCCTCATGGTTTGTTCTCCGTATCTCTTATCATCCTTGTTGCAATTTTCTGAATCTGGTCAAATCTGCCTATATGAAGTGTTCAGAGCTGAACGCAGTATTCCAGATGTGGTACCTTTGGGACTAACTGGGAACAATACATTTGTAGCATCTGCTTTCATAGAGTGAAGGCACACCTACACTGTAGGAGGAATGCAGTTTGACATCACTTCAACTGCCATGGCTCACAGCTATGGAATCATAAGAGTTGTAGTTTCACATGATCTTTAGCCTTCTCTGCCAAAGAGTGCTGGGGCTTCTTCAAACTATAATTCCCATGATTCTACAACATTGAGCCATGACAGTTAGAATGGTATCAAACTGCTGAGTAGGCCCTGTCTCTTGTCGCCACCAACTGCACTTGCGAGGGAGGTGAGACCTAGACCAGGGCCTCCTCAGATGTTCTTAACCTTGGAGATGTTTCATAGAGGGAGATACATTCAGACAAGTAAGCTGGGCTAGAACAGTTTAGGGCAGTGTTTCTCAACCGCGACCCCTTAATACAGTCCCTCATCTTGTGGTGACCCCAACCATAAATTATTTCCGTTGTTACTCCATAACTGTAATTTTGCTACTGTTATGAATTATAATGTAAATATCTGGTATGCAAGATGTATTTTCATTCACTGGACAAAATTTGGCACCGATACCCAATACGCCCAAATATGAATACTGGCGGGGTTGAGGGGGGGGGATTGATTTTGTCATTTGGGGGTTGTAGTTGTTGGGATTTATAGTTCACCTACAAACAAAGAATATTCTGAACTCCACCAATGATGGAATTGAACCAAACTTGGTACACAGAACTCCCATGGCCATCAGAAAATACTGGAAGAGTTTGGTGAGCATTGACCTTTAGTTTTGGGAGTTGTAGTTCACCAATATCTAGATAACACTGTGGACTCTAACAATAATGGATTTGGACCAAACTTGGCACCAATACTCAACATGCCCAAATGTAAACACTGGTGGAGTTTGGGGAAAACAGACCTTGACATTTGTGAGTTGTAGTTGCTGGGATTTATAGTTCACCTACAATCAAAGAGCAGCCTCAACCCCACCAACGATAGAATTGGGCCAGACTTCCCACACAGAACCCCTTGACCAACAGAAATATTGTGTTTTCTGGTGGTCTTTGGCGACCCCTTTGACACCTCCCCCGCGACCCCCCCCAGGGGTCCCGACCCCCAGGTTGAGAAACACTGGTTTAGGGCTTTATAGGCTAAAGCCAGTAATGTGAATTGTGCTCAGTAGCAGACCGCAGCCAGTGGAATGGATGAAACAGGGGAGTTGTGTGCTCCCTGTACCCCAATCCAGTGAGGAACCTGGCTCCTACCTGCTACCAAATAGTCTTCAAAGGCAACCCCACGTAGAGCGTGTTGCAGTAGTGTTTTCAAGATGTATATCAAGGATGTGATTCAAAGTTATACCTAAATGCACTTTCCATATACCAGGAAGATTGGGAAGCACAGGCAATCACATATATAATATGGATGCTAGAAAGTGCATTTTCAAGATTAGATGGACTCAATCATGTATTTGAATCCTTGGGTGTGCATTGTCCAGTGTACAGCAAGGACCTCATATCTACAGGGCACATATTCCTGAACTTCTAAAACTTCCCTTCAGATAGTCTCCCTATGCTTCCCATTTGTTATTGATCAATGTTCATGGTAAGAAGATGTAATTCATTGTGTAATTTGGTCTGTGCAATACTTCTCCCTTGTACACAACTGAAGTGTTTCTTTATAGATCCATAGATCTGCAAGGATTCCAAGGAGCATGTAATCCATAGATGCTTCTGATGCTATTGCTACGCCAAGAAATGCTTCCTTATGGGCATTATTGTTACCTGAAATATCAGTCCTATAATATTCTTCCAGATGGAACATGAAGCTTGGATGTGCTCTGAAACTGAGCAGGAAGGGAAACAGATAACAAACAGTAACTTTGGCCAAAGGATAAACCAAGATTCAGTAGTGCTTTCAACTCAACCTACCCATAGCATGGGCCAAGACAGATGAAGTTTATTCCAAGCATTAATATTTGATAGAACAGAGACATGTAAACAATGAAAATGTGCACATTAGTGGTATATAATCAAATGCATACATAGCCATCTTGAGATGACCAGCACAGAAGGTTTTTAGGACTTCTTGTTGATGGGAATGTTTCTTTGAGTCTGGTATCGTATGTAGCCATAATATCTGTTTGGTGGCCCTGGATACATAATATTGAATTTCTAGCATAACACAAAAATTAGAGCTCAGCAAATGACACAGACCATGGGGAGAGGTCATCTGCTGTCAAAATGGAGTTTATCATACTCACTAAAACAAATGCGCATAAGGCTGAATCTTTCATTCTTATGCTTATGCCAAAAGTCTTGTTACATGTAATGTGCTACCTCCCCATTCTCATTGTGTTATTTGTCCTTCTCCAAAGAGGTAGTGTTTGCAGAGCAGAGGAAAAGCCAGATGTGGTGTGGTTTCATGGGCTACCTTATTAGGTTTCTACACTCTTCTAGGTTTCTGACAGCAAGCTATGTAAGTGACCACCAGACAGGAAACCCGGCTTTAGACGGAAAAGGCTGCTGAAAGGAATCGGCTTCCTTTCGCCTTTGTCAGTGTTATGTCGGAGGAGCTGAAATGAGCAAGTGATGAGTGTGCTTGCTTTTTAGAAATCCGAAGCAGATTTTGGCAAATACCTTTTTAAAAAAAAATGATGGAAAAGTTGGAGTTGTTTGGAAAGGAAGCAAACCCCAATATTTTCTAAGTGGGCCATTTATACTCTAAGGACAAAGAGCATTTCAATGCCCTGCCTCCTTGTCAGCACCTCAGAATGAGAGCGTTGGAAATAAATAGGACTTACACATGGAGGTCTGAATAATATAGCATGTGCTGCTGCTTAATAGAAAGCATCAGATGCATTTCATTGATGTAGATGTTTGTATATTTTTCTCTTTTAAAAAGACACACAGACGGACAGAAAAGCACAAGTTCACGGAGGGCCCTTCCACACAGCCATATAACTCGGAATACCAAGGCAGATAATCCACAATATCAGCTTTGAACTGGATCATCTGAGTCCACATTGCCATATAATTCAGCTCAATGTGGATGTTATACAGCTGTGTTTAAGGGACATGAGTGAGACAGACAGATAGGGATGAACAGACGGATAGGCAAAAGAGAGAGAGAAGATGCAAAGATGGGGAGACAGATATATTGATGCAACTAGGACCAGAAAGACTGATACAGAAAGACAAGTATGTATGTATGTATGTATGTATGTATGTATGTATGTATGTATGTATATAATAGAGCACACACCAGATAGAGAGACACACCAAAGATAAATACATGTAGGTATGAGCCATCCAAAATCCAGCTCATTAGAACTAGGCACCTCCATTCAAGGAGGATATTATGGACAAGCTGGAATGTTTCTAGAGAAGGGCGACCAAAATGGTAAAAGGTTTGTAAGGCAAGCCCTATAAGGAACAACTTAGGAAGCCTGGCATGTAGCCGGGGGGGGGGGGGCTTTGGGGGGGCTTTGGGGGCTTCAGCCCCCCCCCAAATTCTCATGGGGGTCTGCGAAAAGGCCTTACTGGTACATTATTTAAACTGTTATGTTTATTCATATCATGATCTGATCACCATGCTCAATATATCCATGTGCATGGGGGAACTGGGATAATGATACAAAAGGTTTGCTAGGGTAGACCCTCTTTCACTCAGACTCAGCTCCCCCCCAATCAAACTCAGCCCCCCCCCCTCGAATCAAAATCCTGGCTATGGGCCTGTAGAAAGCTATGTATGTTTAGCATGGAAAAAAGAAGGTTAAGAGTTGACATGATTGCTGTGTTTACATTTTTGAACTGGTGTCATGCTGAAGATGGAGTCAGGTTGTCTATTGCTTCTCCAGAGACAAACAATCTCATCAGGCAGACAGTGATAGGAGGCAGCAGTCATAGAATCATAGAATCAAAGAGTTGGAAGAGACCTCATGGGCCATCCAGTCCAACCCCCTGCCAAGAAGCAGGAATATTGCATTCAAATCACCCCTGACAGATGGCCATCCAGCCTCTGTTTAAAGGCTTCCAAAGAAGGAGCCTCCACCACACTCCGGGGCAGAAGGTTCCACTGCTGAACGGCTCTCACAATCAGGAAGTTCTTCCTCATATTCAGATGGAATCTCCTCTCTTGTAGTTTGAAGCCATTGTTTCGCGTCCTAGTCTCCAGGGAAGCAGAAAACAAGCTTGCTCCCTCCTCCCTGTGGCTTCCTCTCACATATTTATACATGGCTATCATATCTCCTCTCAG